GGACAGGCAAAGAATGGAGTCTTAAGGGAATATTAGGAAATAAAGGAAATATAAAGGATATTCACAGATTAAGGAAAGCATTATTTATTTATCTACAGAATACAAAATAAAAAAATAGAATTTCATGTAAAGTAATGTTGCTACACACTCATGTACAGTAGGCGGCGGTATGCAGTTTCTTGCGATCCGCAATAATAGACAAGAAGAAAAAATGGTTCAGAGACTGGAGTCCCCTTCCAGTCCAGCGGGGGGCGGTAAATAGACCAGTTTGACACCCAGCGGATGTAAACAACAGCAGCTCACGTTGACTCAGCTAGTAGGTTCTCTTGTTTTCCTCTCCCAGCTGAACATTTCAGTAGTTTTCAGTAAAAATGTCTTCCGTTCAGCGTCTGAGGGAGTTTATCAGAGAGCGACTAACTGCTGCTGCTGAAGAAATCTTCACAGAGGTTGAAAAAACCATCGTCCGCTACGAGGAAGACATCAGACTGATTGAAACCTGCTGGAAACCCGGAATAACGTCCCAACCATTCGGTAGGAGGCTACAGAAAAAAGCTTCTAATAAATCAGATTGATCAGTTCCTAACTTAAACTTTAGACTTTACTAAATGACGTCACTCCAGTTCGGACCCATTTCCTGATATTTGGATAAAAAACAATTTGAACCCATTAGACGTGGAAGTATCGATGTTTTAATTAAGTTAGAGAAATGTCTTGTTTATCGTTTAGTTGGTGAATTCCAACCAAAAAGTCACGCATATTTTGTCCTTTATTTGGAATCGGACGTCATTGTTTAGACACGTTATGACTTAATTTGAAAATAATGAAACCACTGATGTCTTTCATTACAGCTTTATCTCTGGATAGAACGGTGTGGGCAGGGGCGGATTTAGGACATTTGGGGCCCTAGGCAAATACGGGCATGGGGCCCTCTGAACTGAGAAGATAACACATGAAACATTATTTAATACATTTTTTCTGCCCTTACTGATGTTTTTAAGATATCTGAAATGATATTATGTCCAGGGGAAAATAACAATCAAGATATCTTTAATCACATTTTGAAGATTCAAAATGCATTTTTAGATGTCTCAAATCGTGAATTATAATCAAGATGTTTCAATTAATTTGGACCAGTCAAAACTATATAATTTTTAAATAACCGAATTATGAACTACGCCCTAGCGCTGTTACTGATCTGTCCTTAACAGTTGCCAGCAGAATTTTGCATGGCTGCAATGGTGCCGGCTCTTCTTGACAAAGTTGTTTCAAAATGCAACAGTATAGAAAGAACTCAGGAGGCATGTGTGAAACTCAACCCTGGTAGAAAGTTTATTTCCATTTTCTCCATAAGAAACTGGAAGAAAGTCCTGGTAATTGATCATATTTTGGACAACTGTGATATTTCCAACTAATTAGTAATCAATTAATCATAACTGGAGTTTAGAGACTGTAAAACATGTCTTTAGGCAACAGAGTGACCCATTTAAAGTAGTAATTATATTAACATTGTAAATAAATATAAAATTATTTTGCATTAATATAAAAAACAAATGTTTAATTTGTCAATATGCTCAATCAAGTCCTCCTCAAGTGGAAAAGTTTCAGTTTAAAAATTGCAAAAAATCTGCTTTAAGGAACCTTTTGCTTTCTGGTTATTAAATGAAAAAATAATTAACAGTTTAATCGCTTAGCAAAGAAATCAATAAAAATAACAGATCAAATAAATAAAGTAACAACAGTGATTTATTTACCTTTACTGTTTTACAATGTATAAAAACATTATAGTAGTTTATTAATGTTACTTTTATGTTAATGAGCAGCATCACATCTCCTGAAATGGGAAATCAGAGAAATCCTTATTTTGTTCAGTTGAAGATGAATGAAAGCCTACAGTCACTTGGTTTTACCTGAACCTGAAGTGTTTTCTAAACCTATATCAATTGATAAACTCTATAATATTTAAACATAACAAAGACCAAATTTAACCCAGTGAATGAATAATTAAGCAGTAAGATGTTCAGATGAACCATGTGATGCCTACAGTCACGGATCTCCAGGATACACCAGGCTGCTGGATGAGACATTTCCATTAATGATCTCTTCCTTTTTCTCCACAGACCTTCAAAAGCCTCACGTCTCTCATGAAGAGGAAGCTTCTACCGTCCAACAGCTTTGTAACCAGGACAGGAGGTCCAGTCAGGACCAGGAGGAAGCAGAACCTCAGTGGACTAAAGAGGAGCAGATGGAACCAGGAACTCCATGGATTAAAGAGGAAGAGGAGGATCAACCAGCAGATCAACCAGTGGGTGAAGAAAATGAGGCAGTAGATTCTCTGGTGGTTAAATTTGAGCAGTTTGTACCAGAACATTTCCCAAAGGAGCTCAGCTGCAGGCAGGAGGCAGTGATGCTTTACCAGAAGCAATCTGATGTTCTGAAGGAGACCTCTACACCACAGACGGATGATTCGAGTGAAAGACAAACAAGAATGGAGCAGCTTTCCTTTCATAGCTCTGCTGTAGTTGAAAACGCACATCAGACAGGAAGCAGCTCTGCTGTATCAGAGGGTCAGTCTCAGACCGGCCCAGAGAGAAACTCTTTACAATGTGATGTTTGTGGGAGATCCTATAAGAATATTTACAGCATGAAACAGCATTACAGAATCCACACTGGAGACAGACCTTTCTTATGTACAACATGTGGGAAAAGTTTCTGCAGACGTTATCACTTAAATATTCACCAGAGAACCCACACAGGCGAGAGGCCTTTTTCTTGTCAGATATGCCAGAAGCGTTTCTCTCAACTTAGTCATTTAAATGATCATAAGAAGGTTCATACAGGGGAGAAGCCGTTCTCCTGTCAGATATGCGGAAAAAGTTATACTAGACGTTTTCAACTTAAGCTACACCAGGAAAACCACACAGTTGAGCGGGAAGCCTTTCTTTTAAATCTGTAATTTAACTTTTCACAGGAATGTTCATCTAGAACCCTCCAGGAAACCAAGAGCATAGACCTAATCTGTTTTCAGTCTTTGGAAAACTTGTAATGTACATTTGCAGTAACTAATAAAGTTGTTTATTTATCACTTTTGCAGACTTCTTATTGTTTTGCAGGGAGGGAAAGTAGCACAACAGCAACGTCTTCAGGCTGTTCTCAGTTCTTAGAGCAGAATCATTCAGCTGATGATTTTTTGTAATTAAAACTGGAATCTAATTACTCACATTTAAACAAAGTCATTTTAGTAGTAAACAGACTAAAACATAATTTAATTAGTTGTGTCATTCCTAAGATGTGTAAAATATAAATTATTGTGAAAACAGTTTTAAAGGAAGCAGAATGTGAAGGACAGATGATGAGTTTGTAGAGCAGCAGATATGCTTCTGTTGTCAGTGGTTATTAGAACAGAACAAACTGCTGACAGCCAATCAAAGCTCCTTTCCGGCTGCTGTGTGGGTTTGTGTTCTGCAGCCTCCACACTGTGGCTTTTTATCCCGGTAAACCCGACTAAATTGGAAAGGAAAGGTGTTATGTAGTCTGGCCACAATGAATGAGACATCGGAGGATTGTTGATGAGAACAACCTGTTGTCTTTTAAACCACTTAATGTACGCTCTGACCAATGAACGCAGCTGACTGACGTAGGCAGTGCGACAGAAAACTGGTGGGGGAGTGTAAACAAACGGCCTGGCGGTAAAACGGCGAATAAGTCCTTAAGAATGAATGAGCGTAGAGCCTCTTCCTGCTCACATTTCAACGTCTAATCAAAAATCGCCATCAGTCTTTCACACACGACTATGCAGAGAGAGGGCCACTGCAGACGGGCTGCCGTTAGCTTCGGAGGTTCGCTGGTTGCTGCGGTCCTCTCAACTTCAGAAATTGTTTTTTTAATGATGGATTAAATCGGTAAACGGACCATATAGTGACGCTTTAAAGTACAATATTCTCGCCTCAAATTATCTTAAAACGTAGTTTTATTGAACAACAGTAACAGAAAGAGAACTGGTAACTTTCAATGGAGCGCTCCATTGAAAGCGGCTGCTGCCGCATGCTATTGTTCAATAGTTGTTGCCATCTTCCTTGTTGTGCTTCCTCCAGTGTTGTGCAGCTTTGTCATCATGCCCTCAAAACCCCGCCCGCTTTGCATTCAGATATTCTAAATACATGCCTGCGTTGTGATTGGCCCGCCTGTTCTAGGGCCCGGGGCATTGATTGAGGCTAGACAAACTCGCAGGCAAAAAGGATTTTGGCCGCTGGCGGGTGGGGCTAGTTTACTAGGCTAGTGGCTTTTCACTTTATTAACACAATGACAGTTACAAGCATCAACAGAGATGAAAGAATCATCAAAGGAAGCAGCTGCAAGGGCAAGCAGGTATAGATGATTAGTGGATGAATCTGACTGAACAAGAAGGGCTGGGTTTAAAAATGAAATCAACTTAAATTATTTTATCTTTGAGTTATCTGATGTTGATTAATAAAACTGTTGAACCACTTTTTTGCATTTGCACAAAAGCTTTGTGAGACAGTTAAAGGAATCTCAGTGAATTTCTTGAGTTTTCCGTGTGTTAGTAGCCACTTTATTCATACAACACTTATTTTGTCATCTTAAATAAAAAGTAAATGCTTAATGGGACTGCATTGGGTTAAATACTTAAAATAAATATTAATATTTTACCAATATACTAAGTGAGACTTAATTTCCAGTCTTTGTGGCATTATTATTTCTGATGATGTTTTCCATATCTATGTGAAGTTGGTACTGTGTGATATTCTCTATTCAATTAAAAAATAATCAAACTGAACTGAATAGAATCATTACCAACAGTACTGAATGATGACCACAAGGTGTCACTGTTGTCTAATTTATCTTGGTATCATTATAATCAATGGCTCAGGTTCCCTCTGAGTTACCTCTATAGTTATGCTGCTATAGGCCTAGACTGCTGGAGGACATAGGGACGGACCCCTTTTCATCATTTTGCTTCATTTGATAACTATTTTCTTATTTTATTTTTCTTTATTATGCGCTAGTCCAGGGTTTTACTTTATATTCTGTCTGTTTTTATTGATCTGGCCTGTTTCAGTTTAACTGTGAGTGCAGAGGAAGGCATCAGCATATCTGCTCCTTAGAGCAACTTCATGTTTCTCTTCTATAGATGAGCCACTCTGTGCTTTATTTCCCTGAGTAGGTCTCTCTTTCCTAGACATAATTACTGGCTGTGCTTTTACAGAAACTGTATCACATATATGACTTAATCCAAATAAGCTTTTTTCAGTTTAGATTTCTTTTAATTCCATTTATTAGTTTTCAAAACATAAATAAGATAGCGATACAATTTTAAAGCATAAAATTAACATAGATGTGACAGTATGGGGGGAACCCGTCCCACCAAATAAAGTTAGAAATATCAGTATTCTAACATACATAAATATGAACTATACATTACTTAGATAATCAACAAAAATAAATAATTTTATAACATGTTTAAACAATTCTAATATGTAGACAGTGAAGACGCAGGTTCTATGAAATATAACTGGCTCCAGATAAAAGCTCCTCAGTATTAGAAAGAAAACAGGCATGTTTTAAACAGTGAAATGAATTATGAAATGAATAGTTAGAAATTATATTTTAACACCAATTGGTAAATCAAACAATCATCTTTTGTATCTCACCTTATATATAAAAGTACAAGTTTGCAAAATATTGATTATAAATATATTTAGCAACTTTAGCAAATAATCAGAAGGATTGCTTCTGTTCCAGAATAAGTTGCTAATCTAAAAAAACTGCTTCTGAAACATGTTTGCATTGGAAAAAATGATGTAAATGAGACTGCAGTGCAAACAGGAATATATACAAAAGCTCCTAATTTTCTGAGAATACCAAGTTTTTTCTCAAACACCATTTTTTCCCTTCATAACTTCTTATCATTGATTAAAACCCAAAAGAAATAAATGAGACTTTTTTTTTTTTACATAAGTACCGGTATACAAAGTTTCCCTTTTATGTTTCTTTTGTTCCCAGAAAATAACATGAAGTAAGATTAAATAACATCTGATGTTAGCTTTTTAAATTGGAAGCATCTGAAGAAAATATGTAGATCTGGATTTATTAAATAAATTTTTATTTTTTAATTAAATCAGCACAAAAGGCAGATATAGTCTGATTGTTTAGTAATGAAAATAACAATAATAATTACATTTTTGCATGACTGAAAGTCATTCTAAATCATTTTAACAAACATTTTTAAGCCCCTTATGAACATTTCTGTAAAGGCCACATTCACATATTTTGCAAGGCAAGTATGTTTTAAAATGCTTTAAAACATATAAAATATACCTTCACCTTTTAGAGCTTCATGAATTCCAGTAGTGAGATTTAGCAATGCTGTTAGTGGAATGAATGTTACAGCAGATGACTGCAGAAAATAGTGCATCTGGTTCTGAATTCATTTATGTACGTTTCTCTTATATCTTTAGACACACGGAAATACTAAAATATATCAGAAGTTAAATATCTTTATCAGGCTTAAGGTCAGAGGGAAATAGGCTGGTTCTCATCAATGATACAGAAATGTCATCAGATGCTTAATGATAAATATAACTCCTTTAACTAAGCAAAAACCAATGCTGTTGTGATCTAATGTGTCAATCAGATCCTTTAAATCATGCAAATCGTGAGTTTGATAGATGGAAGGGAACCTTTAATGTTTTTCATAGGATTGTTTGTTCCAGCTTGTTCATTATGGTAAAAATCTTCGAGATAGAAAATAGATGTACAGGTAAAACAAGGATTCACTGAGGATCAGTTCCTCTATGTTTCCTTTGTTTGTCTGCTTCTCTCTCCTTGAACCCAAGTCATCCTCGGCACAAGTCAATGGCTGAATGCAGTCAGCTGGGATTCCCTCAAATCGTTTAACCAACCTGTTAGTTGACAGAACTTAATCTTTAAAGGGACTTGAGATGACGTGTGCTGTGAATGGTGCTATACCAACAGAACTGTTCTGATTTCAGGTCGCTGTTGCATGATGCACGCATGCAGCAGTCTTCTAAACCAGGTCCATCACACTGAGAGTTTGTCTTATTCTGATTCTTCTGCCAACCCCTAGTGACCAAAACACTTTTGATTTCATATGTTCATCCAAACTAGCAGGGAAACTTCAGCAACCAGGAACCAAAGAGCCAGAGGAGCCATTACACTGTCACTTTGCTTTTCAGAACAAAAGTCTAAAATAAATGGAGAAATGTGTGAAATAAAGTGAAGTGAACAGACATTCAGAAATCAAATGGAAAAAAACTTGTAATTCTGTAATCCAAGCTGTGCTCCTAAATTGTCTTTCAGGAAATGAAGCTACATTGCTGTCTTTTTAAGGAACAAGTTCAGCATTGTGCATGCAGCCCAGAACAAATCCAGCTAACTTAGTGTGAACGCCTACAGCAGCAAAACGCTCAAAGGGTGGCGCCAAACATCAGGCAAATAAAAGCCATAATGCTATTCAGATCACATTAAGATCAAGACCTAAATCTGATTTATCTGTGCTTTTTTGGAAATAGTGTTAGAAGATCTGCTAGTTTCCCCATCTGTTTCATCTTTTAGGACCGACACATGATACATAACTTCATTTAGGTTAAACGGAAAAGTCCGATCATATTCAGAATTCAAACTTCTGAAAGTACTTTAAATGTGAAATTATTGCATCCTGTTCAATAAATGATCAGTGTTTTTAATTAAGAGTCATTTCATTTAAATGTGCTTTAATGGAGGCATCCATGTTTGTCAAAGAAAACTACTGCCACCTATTGGTTTGTGACGTCACGGTGCGGTATCGGCTGTTGATCAAGTCCCAGTGCTGTATCTGGTGTTTGTCACAACGCGCTATTATCCAAGTCATCTTGAAAACATTCTTCTTCCAAATGTTGGCTACATATTTCGGGTTTTTGGCAATCTAATGACGAACCCGTCCATGGAGGATCATGAATCGGAAAG